GACGCGGGGAGTGGACGGGCGCGTGGGCCCATCTCTCCCCCTCTCTCCCCCTGTGTCCCGCTCTCTCCCCCTCTCTCCCCACCTCTCCCCATCTCTCCCCATCTCTCCCCATCTCTCCCCATCTCTCCCCATCTCTCCCCATCTCTCCCCATGTGTCGCCCTCTCTCCCCATCTCTCCCCATCTCTCCCCCATCTCTCCCCATCTCTCCCCCTCTCTCCCCTTCTCTCCCCATCTCTCCCCATCTCTCCCCATCTCTCCCCATCTCTCCCCATCTCTCCCCATCTCTCCCCATCTCTCCCCATCTCTCCCCATCTCTCCCCATCTCTCCCCCTCTCTCCCCCTCTCTCCCCATCTCTCCCCATCTCTCCCCATCTCCCCCCCTCTCTCCCCATCTCTCCCCATCTCTCCCCATCTCTCCCCATCTCTCCCCATCTCTCCCCATCTCTCCCCACTTCTCCCCATGTCTCACTGCACCGACGAGCGCTTCATCGAGACGCGGCCTGCTCTCCCCCTCTCTCCGGACCTCTCCCATCTCTCCCCACCTCTCCCATCTCTCCCCATAACCCCCCATAACCCCACCTCGGTAGGCGCGTGGGCTGACGGGTCGGGAGAGTGGACCGAGGAGCTGCTCGCCGCGCTGCAGTACGAGTTTGCCGACGACGGCGCCCTCTCGGCCGTGGCGAGGTCGCTGCTGCGAGGCTGGAGGGCGGCGGCGCGGAGGGCGGTTTTGAGCACCCGGCTGTAGGCGTCTTTTGGATCGAGCTGCGCGACTTTGCGGCCCACTTCAACACGCTGTACGTTGCGCGGCTGCTGGGCGGCGCCGGCTGGGAGAGAGAGGCGGCGGCGGGCGAGTGGCGTGGCGAGGGGGCGGCGGGCTGCCCCGGCCGGGGAGGGTCGTGGAGGTGCGGCCCCGCGGTGCTGCTGCGCCTCTCCGTCCCCGCGTCCCTCTTCTGCGTCCTCGGCCATTCGCGGTCCCACCGCCGCGGGGAGACGACCCCCTCCGTGGGCTTTGCACTCGTCCCCGCCCCCTAGAGGCAGGAACACGTATTCGCGTCTCCCAACCAGCACTCGAGAGGACGCGTACTCCGCCGTCCTCGGTCGCACTCCGCGGTCTTCACTGTACTCTTCTCCGTTGTACTCACGCGGTGCTCTGAGTACGCTGCACAACACCGTCTTCCCGCCCCGAGGCTGGCGTCTTTCACAACGCAGGTCCCCGCGTCGAGCCTCGGCTCGGGCGCGTCTTCCCTTTCTTCCCTTTCTGAGGACCGTCGTTTGCTCTGCACGAGGGCGTATCGCCCCTACGCTTTGGCGCCCACACGCCTCCATACGTGTAAGCAAGCCGCTCCAGCAGTTCCAAACGGGCAGACGCCTCTCTGAGCGTAGGCGACTCTAGGCAGTCGGCCTCGCGGCGTGCACCCGTCGGTGAGCGGGCTTCCCCTGCGGCACGAGGAGTGCGTCTCGAGCGGCGCGGAGGCGGCGCTGGCGGCGGGAGACTACGCCCTCCTCCCCTTCACCTTCGCCGCCGGCTGCGAAGGCGGCTCAAGCCTCGCGGCTTGGAGTGGCCGGACCGGCGGCCAAGAAAGGGGTGAGCTGTGGTTCCCATCGGATCAGGCGCGTGGACCCTCGAGGTGTGGTGCGACACGCCGCGCTCCGCCGCGCTGTCCTCCTGGCCGTCGGTGACTGCGCTCGTCGCAGGGATGGCGCGGGGTGGCGCGGGCGGCGCGTCGGCCGGTGCCGCCGCACACCGGACGTTCTTTCCCGACGGCACGACGCGCGCAGCCGCCGCAGGTCGATTCGACGAGGACGAGGAGGAGGACGAGGCGGCGGCGGCGGACATGTGGGCGGAGGTGGATGCCGAGGTGGAGGAGGCGGGCGGGGCCGCCCGGATCGGCGGCTCAGCCGGCGGCGGCTCGAAGAACCTTCTCCTCGGCGGCGGCTCGCGCGAGGAGCGGAGGGACGAGCGTGTGGCACGCGCCCTCGCCGCCTCGTACCTCCGGCGGCAGCACGACGAGATGAGCGAGGCGTGGCGGCGCTCGCTCGCCCACGCCGCGGCGACCGGGTCCGACCCGCGCACGCTCTGCTCCCTCGACGACCCTCTCACGCAGCTCGCGCTCGGGCGGCAGGCAGCTTTCGCGCGCGGGGCTGCGCGCGCCGACGGGCCTCGCAGCGGCGGCGGCAGCCCGCAAAGCCCCGCCAGGAGCCCGCGTTCGGGCGCCCGCGCGGAGCGGAGAGGATTGCCACAGCGGAGACCGGTCGCTCGTGACAAGTTCCCAGGTTAAAGAGTAGAGAGTCTGTTTCGCCTAACGAACGCGGAACGGGGCTCTGTCCGACGCTCTGTGACTTTGTCCGAGGGGTGCGGCGAGGGCACGTGGCGAGAGACGTCGCGGTCGCGGCCCACTGGTGACCGGCACCGGAGCGCGGAGGGTGGCGGTGGGTGCTCTCCGCACTCCGGACACTCCAAGGCGTCCAACTCCAAGGGGTGCTGCATGGGAACGCGACCCACACAAAGCACACCGATGTAGCGGCATATACCCCCCGGCGCAGGTGTCCCCCGCTATGTGTCGCCGTTACTTTGGTGTCGGGGCACGCTACCTATGTGCTCGATCCTGTACCGTGATTGTTATGACCCCCCCCAATGAACACTCCAGTGAGGGAGGGCGAGACGATCCGTCGATCGAGGGGTCCCGTACCATGCGGAATCGACCCTATCAAGTGCTCAAGTGCTCATGTGTGCAGTCAGGGCAAGTGGGGGCGGGGCGGAGTGCCCAGGAGCGTGCTGAGGGGGAGGAGGGCGATGAGGGGGAGGAGGACGAGGACGAGGAGCAGTTTCCAGGGCTGCTCGGCCACGGCGAGGGCGTGCTGCAGCTGAAGACGCCGACCCGCCTCCCGTCGACGCTAGGCGGCGAGCGCGCGATTAGTGTGGCGGCGTCAGGACTTTTCAGCCTCGCTCTCACCGCGGACGGCGCCGTTTGGTCCTGGGGCTGCGGCGGGCTGGGCATGCTTGGCCACGGCGACCAGCAGGACCAGTCGCTTCCCAAGAAGATCGAGGCCTTTGCTGGCCAGCGCGTCGTCGCCGTGTCGGTTGGACGCTTCCACAGCCTCGCCATCACCGCCGATGGCGCCGTTTGGAGCTGGGGCGATGGAGACTACGACAAGCTGGGCCACAGCGACCAGCAGCACCAGCGGCTACCCAAGAAGGTCGAGGCTTTTGCTGGCCAGCGCGTCGTCGCCGTGTCGGCTGGACGCGAGCACAGCCTCGCCCTCATCGCTGACGGCGCCGTTTGGAGCTGGGGCAGTGGAGTTTTTGGCCAGTTGGGCCACGGCGACGAGCAGAACCAGTCGCGGCCGAAGAAGATCGAGGCCTTGGCGGGTCAGCGCGTCGTCGCTGTGTCGGCTGGAGGGATTCACAGTCTCGCCATCACTGCCGACGGCGCCGTTTGGAGCTGGGGCTTTGGAGGCTTTGGCAAGTTGGGCCACGGCGACGAGCAGACCCAGCTGCTGCCGAAGAAGATCGAGGCCTTTGCTGGCCAGCGCGTCGTGGCTGTGTCGACAGAGGAAAACCACACCCTCGCCATGACCGCCGACGGCGCCGCCTGGAGCTGGGGCATTGGCGAAGATGGCCGGCTGGGCCACGGCGACGGGCAGAACCAGCTGCTGCCGAAGAAGGTCGAGGCCTTGATTGGCCAGCGCGTCGTCGCTGTGTCGGCAGGATGCCACAGCCTCACCCTCACCGCCGACGGCGCTGTCCTTACCTGGGGCGCTGCCGGACTCGGCCGCTTAGGCCACGGAGAGGACGTGTCGAACCAGCTGCTGCCCAAGAAGATCGAGGCGTGGTCGCAGGGGTGAAAGGGGGGCGAGGGGTGCGTGGCTGATAGGAGCACGACCGGCTCGGGAGAGGCAAGTGTTCCGGATAGGTTGGGGGGGTCAGCTGGCTCGCATCCCCCATGGCGCGTACGCATTTGGGATGCGCCGCCCAGAAAAAACGCGCATGAACAGGGCTCCCGCGCCGTCCCGGCTGCCCGAATGAGGTGTGAGTGACTGAGTGTTAGATCTGTTTCGTGGTTGGTCTTGCTAAAATTTTCTCTCACGCACCACAGCTATCGAGGTATCTCACAGTAGAGGTGTCCGTTTTTATTTATTTATTTATTTCCTTCGTGGCCTCGAAAATTCTTAAGAGACGGCGCTCACCGCTTGCTTGCACCTCGGCTCAGCGCTCTGGCTAGTGCCATTTCACTGTGGCACACTCTGGGCCGGCGCGGGGCCCCCAGAGGGTGTCCATGCGGGGGGGAGATGGGTTCCCACGGCCCGCCGCAGGCGCCGATTTTTTCGGGATTTTTTTCTTTTTTTCGCGATTTTTACTTGTTTTCATGGGAATTCTGCGTACTTGCGGCCATGCTATCACGCCTTGCGACAGCCTGTCGGCGCTGCTGACCGTGCCATGATGCACAATTGATCACCTGCATAGCTCGCGGCCTTAGTATCAAGCATTCAGTGACGACCTGATTCTACGACCAGTAGGAAGGTGTCCTTCCATCGTGTGCACGCTTCTGGCGCAATGCGCGTCGCCTCGGATTGGCTGCTGGCACTCTCGAGGCTATGCCTACACAGCCTCGCGCGCATGGGCAGTCAGGAGGGACCACGCACCTTCACAGGACAGCGCCGGTGCCTCTCTCTTGGACTGGCAAACTTGGTGGTCTCGTGTCACCAATGTGGGACCAGTGCGGCATCGCGCCATCGACAGCTCTGAACTGCGCCTCACCACTGACCGGGAAGGCCGCCAAGTGGGCCAGCACAGGTCGCATATTGTGGCAGCAGTCAGCAGTGCATGTCTGATAGCTAGAGCTGCAGCGTCAGGGTCGCAGGGTCGGATCGTGTCAAGCCTCTCGCCCGGCCAGCCGCGTGCAGACGTCGCGCTGTCTGCTGTCTGGAGTGATCTGTCGGCGGTCAGTACGACCGATCAGGTCGGAGTTTTCTTATGGTTAGAGGGTCTATCTGTATGTACTCCTCGAGTTCTCTCCAAATCTGCCCTCTGTTAGACCGGGTTAGATCGGGAAGTTGGTGCTAGTAGAGACTAGTAGAGCCGGAGCCCCGTTTCCGCACTGCGGCGCGGCGCACGGTGCCTCCGGGGGCCCCCGCGCCGGCCCAGAGTTGGCACAGCTCGCGTTACAAAACCTTGATTTGACCATTTGCGCCATTTTGTCCCTCTCGGTGCCTTCCAGAGGCAGCTGCGACCCCGCCAAGTGGAC